TAACAATTTTAAACATCAAGAATATCTATTGACCTCTCTCCCTTCCTCCCTTTCTTAGTGCAAAAATCAGCCAGCGCTCAAAATAGGGCCAAACCAATCACCACCATTGGATATCTACTAACAAAATGTGCTAAAGGAAACATCCTGAGGGCTTCAGAATATTGCCTACGACTAATGTTTTTTTTAGTATACTCCCTGCATACTTCCTGTCCAATATGTCCGTAAAACTTACAGAAGACAGTATAGCCTGAACTTTACTTACCATTATCCACCTTGAAGGCCTTTCAGTCATAACAGACTGCAGTATAGAACGACACATGAAGGTCATAAGGTACATGTGTTACTGCATATTGATTTTCGAAATGTTAACTGCACCGAATCCTTACAGTCTGAAAGAGGATCCTAATATCCTAATCCATAACGCTAAGATTTTTTTCCTTTAACAGTATATAAAATATACAATCTACTATTCAATTTCCTTCACCTATTGGTTTAATTTTATTGAGGTTATCATTCTTTTATGTCACATTGACATTTCAACAGTAAGGGATTCGATTTATTTTAATTCGTTCCCTTCGCTAGCAGGAACAACAACAACAACCCAAAATAAAATCTATCTCAACTTTACGTCGTATCAAAGTTGTTTGGTCTAAAGTCTTAATGATTTTGATTGAAAGGTTTGAAGTTATTTTAGGTGGGTCTTTTTGGCGATATCTGCTATAAGTATGTCCATGTGGGTTTAAATAATATACTTCGAAGATATGGAAAAAAGTGGTAGTTTGAGTCGTATGTTATACTGATCTATACCGGCCAAAAGTTAACCTACACATAACGAACTTTAACCAATGATTTCATTCAAATTTAAACGGGGATATTGACAGTTCACTAAGAGATGGCTACAGCTAACTTCTGAATATGTTTTTGTTTCCCTTTTTCTTTTTACTACTATTTTATATTTTTGTTATTATTTGATTGTCTATATTTTTTACTTACATCTTTTATTGTTATTTTTTTTTTCTCAATTCGCATATAATAGTACGAATGTATAGATAGAGCCTTAATACCTAATACCTATTGCTGGCAGGATGTATTATTGTTATTCCAATAATACAAAAAAAATAGACATTTTTCAAATGACATTTTTAACTTATTTTTTCTAGCTTTTTTTTAGTCTAGGGACTTAGAGCTTATTAAGTAGAAGAATTTAATTTTTTTTTATTATTCTTTCTTTCTCTTAGAAGTGAATATGTCTACTGATTTATCATTTTCCATGAATTTTGTAGATGGTTTTAAGGGTTTTGATCAATTTTTTAAGTATTTTGTACATATTTTCATTGTTTTGTAAATATCTAGTTTACTTAGTATTATCTTGTTTTTTTAATTTTATTTATTGTATCAAACTTTTAGGTCAGAAGTTAACTTTAATTTATGTACGATTTTGTTATTCTTAAGTGATTTTGCTCCAGAATATAGTTATTTTCCATCATTCTATCTATTTATTTAGAATAACCATCATCCTCAAGATCATATAAAAATATGATAAACATTTTTAATAATGGATATTATTGTCTTTACTATGATCTAAAAATATAGATTAATTTTGGGTTCAAGTAAACCAAAATAATGTCTTCTCATCCCTCTTTGCTCAATCTGCAGGCGTTCCACAAGGTAGTATCCTCGGTCCCATCCTCTACACAGTTTATACAGCTGACATCCCAACCCATCCTGACACTGTCATCACCACTTACGCCGATGACATATGTTTGCTATCTGTTAATAACGATCCTTTAATTGCATCCCAAACTCTTCAATCACATATCACAAGCCTTGAAGAATGGTGTAAAAATTGGAGAATAAAAATAAATTCCAACAAATCCCATCAAATCACCTTTACCCTCCGTCGTAAACCTATGACTTCTTGTCCTACAGTATCCTTCAATAATACTCCACTTATTCCTGTTGAGCAAATCCGCTACTTAGGACTCCACTTGGATAAACGTCTTACTTGGAATCCTCATACTAGACTGAAACGACAAGAAACTGCTCGACGTTTCCGACTGCTCCAACACTTACTAGACAAACGCTCCAAACTTTCAATTAATTACAAAAGACTTATCTACATAACTATAATAAGACCTATATGGACATACGGAGTTGAGCCTTGGGGCTCCACCAAGCCATCGAATTCCTATCGTATCCAATCCTTACAATCCAAAATCCTCCGTAAAATCCTTAATGCTCCATACTTTGTCACAAATAAAACTATTCATCAAGACCTTAATGTACCATATGTCGCTGATTTAGCTCGAGCCAGATATATCTATCCTTTCATGATAAACTTCAGTCCTATCCAAATCCGCTTGTTTCCACTCTTGCTTCTTCCTCGATTCCTGATGATCCTCCTAAGCGTCTGAAAAGGAGATGGCCTCATGATCTTCTTACTTAAAATTATTTAGGGAATGCTACCACTGGGTAGTATCTCTTCAAGCCTATACATGCCATTATTTATATTTGCGCATATTTACTAGTTGTATTTGTATACAGTTGTAAATTCCATTAAATAAACAAACAAACAAACAAAAATTTGGGTTCGATTATTTATTTTTCCCCCCTCCAATAAGCATTATAGTTTTAATCTAAGACGAATTTGGAAAAAAAGAGAGTATAATTTCTAGATTTTCATTGAGGACGTTGCTTAATTGAGGAAGCAAAACCAGGTGAGTGCCTGAATTGAATGGGCCAGCTCATTAAGAAGACGAATTTAAGGAACTCACGACAGCCAAATCGCTTGTCCTTGGCTTCGGCAAAGAGGCTGTAGATGAAGGGTTAATCGTTTGACCAAAAAGAGATTTCCTCAATAGTGAGATTGTGGGTTCGTAAAAAAATAATCTTAAGGGGTTGTAATACCGACTAACTAAAAAAATTGGGTCAATTTGGAGCAAAGATATTAGGTCAAGATATTTTTTATACGTTCTACTGCAAATGTTATCTCCTTTGTTTTGTTTTTTGATATCAGAAAGTGTTACTGAAGTAATGCAATTTTTTTTAGGAAATTATTAACGATAAAAAAAAAATGTTTAGGTCAATAATAGGAATCACCTTTTATTTGTTTCTCTTCATGTTACTAGGAAGGTAATGTTACTGTAGATGTATAATTTCTTGCACACAATAAACCATTGCGAAATAATTGGCAGCGGAAAACTTTTTTTTTTCGGAAAATTTGTTAATAAACGAAAGACTTGTGAATAAAAGGAATTTAGTCAAGAGACCTTTAAACTAAAATTTATTTTACTTTATTTTCCTCCCTACCCTGCCTTTAAGACAATACGGGAGTTTGCAGCAGTGACTTGATACACATTTTTTGCATAACAAATCACTGTTGCAAGTTTATCTTTTTATATTGTTTACATTGCTGTACACATAGCCTGCGTGACAATTTTTTTCTTATTTTATCTTCCTCCATCTTCTTCTCCTGTCCTAATCAGCGCCTTCCAGGTTCTGCTTCTTCACGCCCACTCAGGGAGAAGTGGATTGGGCCCACAGTTTTTTTCCTCCCGCATAAAAAACTTTTATAGTACGGGTATTTTTTTGAGAAATCAGTTGGGGTAATTGTTTTTCTGTTAGAACGTAAGGCCCTGTATCCCTCATTAATTTGGCCCTCAATGACTCATAGCTGGTGCAGGCTACAAGGATGTGCACAGCGGTTTCAGGTACTCCACAAGTGAGGCATAAGGTATCGTTGTTTTTACCATGTTTAAAAAGTTTCGCTCTTCAACTCCCATGCCCCGTGAGGATCTGTGAGACCCAATAGTCCGGGAGGACCCATTTCTTTCCTAAGCGGGATTCAACGGTGGGAAAGAATTTTCTCAGTGTGGACCCGTTTGTGGTTGTCATCCATCGCCGATTCCATTGTTCCAATGTATCCTCCTGGAGGATCATCTTCCATCTTCTGGAGTCTTCACAAATCCTCTCCCGAATGTTTGTTGGTAAATCCGCCAAGCCATCCCTCTTAATGATGTGACGAAAAAGGTCTTCCTGCAGGAAGAGTTCGAGAGTAATACTCCCTCCTGAGACCTGCACCGCCTCATGGGACACAGTTCTGTATGACCTTGTTACTCTAAGCAGGGCCATTCGCTGGATTGTTGCCAACTTGCGCTTCTGACGGTACGAGAGATTCCGGTTCCATGTGGGGGACGCGTATCTCAGGATACCAACAACTACTCCTTTATAAATTGACACAGTTGCTGGATATCTAAGGCCCCATAAGGATCCCCCTATGCGACTGAGACCATTAAGGGCTAAGGTTACCCTATTTCTTCAATAATCCAAGTGAGGCATCACGTTGAATTTGTTTCCAATCCTAATTTCATGATAGGGTGACTATCTCACTTGGACGTATGAAATTTAAACTAACACAGGACTTGATTGTGATCAGGGAGTTAGGTAGAGAATCAGAGCAAATGGATTTAGAGGGTCTTTCGCGCTGAACCCTTCTCTCTTCCCAAAATATATAACCATTTATATTTATATATAATAAAATATAACCATGTCTTATGAATAAAATATTAAAAAATTATCTCTAGAAGTATTATTGTTTGAGTAATTAATTACATTTAATGAGACTTCAAGAATCACTGAAAAAATTTCATATAGGCAGTTAGTTTCTTTATTTTTCTTCCAAAGTAATGAACTTTATATATTTGTATATATATATATATATATATATATATATATATATATATATATATATATATATATATATATATATATATATATATATATATATATATATATATATATATACACACACACAAAGCTTTTTGACTGATACCTCTACCAAAATAAAATCCAGGATCCTCTAGTCCATGAGATGTAGGCTACAATATTTATAATTTTACACTCACTTACCTCGTTTTTATGAAATCGAGAGCAATACATTCTCCTGGGAGAAGAGTTGGACATGCGCCATCGAGCTTTGGGGATGAGCAGCCCAGCGCCAAATGGCTTATTTGTTTCCATCGTTTATGTTAGAAATAACATCGTTTAGTATCTTTTATGATTCCGATATCTAAAATAAAAATAAATGCTGGATTAATAAGTAACTAGGGTATACGCACGTAAATCGTAGGGAAAAATAATTGGATGTAATACGTAAGTTAATGCACTTCATTTAACAAACCATTACATAGATCAAAAGAATAATCACGGGAATCAAATTAATGGTTTCATCCTTCTTTAAGGAAGGAGTGCTTTTTTCTTTTTCTTTTTTTCCTCTTCTAACAGACTTGGTGGAGGCAGATTATCATAACCGGTAGGTTCTGCTGGCCCTCCGGTTCTTGACCTCCTCAACCAGCGTGCGATCTTTCTTCAGAGCAGACCTCTCGGTAGCTGGTCAGGATCGAATCGATTTCAGTTCGTCTTCGTGTATAGAAAAAGTAATGGTGAACATTATTTTTAGAAACCATTCACAATCACAATTTTAGAAACCATTTTAAATTCTGCCACTACTTGCAACCCATCTAAATCATGACAGTTCATCAACAGATTCTTCGGTAGATACAACCATAGATTTTTCACTCAAAAGAGTAAAATTGGTGACAAAAGAAAACGTGCTAGAAAACAATGAAGATAAAATTTAGTAAATGATAAATGACGAAATTCTCGAATTTTAGTAATTAAGAATTATAGAAACTAATATTATAGGGATTTTTTTAAGCTATATAATAAAAAATAGTTTCTGCTTTTTATTCATTTATTTTTTTTAAATTAAAAACATACAATATATTGCATACGTTCATAGCAAGGTGATATGAATCCCTTACATAAACTATGGTTTATATAACTATAGATATATCTTTCGTTTACGGTAAATTAGGGCTATTGTTCTTCATATTCCTTTAAAAATCTAAGCTATTTCAAATTGTATATATCGTCTAAAATTTGACCAATTTTTATAAGAGCATTATTTGGAGTTTGGTTGAATCTAAAAGTGAAATTAGATCCTTTTTGCCTTCTGCCTCTCAATAATCAGTGGCCTTCCTTGGGATAGTTACGATTGACATTAATCATCTTCAATTATGATGAGAGAAATGTTTCTGTCGTCTCCTTACATTCTTCATAATGTGCTTTCTTCGAGCAATGGTAAGAAGGTGTTGAAAGCGCCTAAAATGTCTTTGTATTTTTCCTGCAGCTATGGCGAATCTTAAATCACGTATATGCGATTCACACAATTGTATTTCATTTTTTTCTTCTTCTTCCTTTAATAATTTATAAAGATCTTCCTGTTCGTCCAAATAGCTCATTAGCTGCTGCATCCGTTTCTTTTCAATCGAGACTTCTTTATTTATATTATCCAGTTCATTTTGTTTAATTTCCATATTCCTATCATACTGAGCAAGTAACTGTTTTACACGTTGCTGTTTTTTAAGTCTTCTAATTCTAATAATTTTTTCCTCTTTGACAAATTTCTTTCTCAAGAGGTTTATATCGATTAATTTTTTTTGTGTTCTTTTATCTAGCTCTCCTTGCCTATATTCGCTTTCCTTCAAATCATGTATCATTTGTTTTTCTGTATCACTTGAGCATTTTTTCATAAAAACATGAAAATCTGTCAAGACCTCTTTGGATTTTTCTCTTAACGCCGTTAACTTATTGAACTTGAGCAATAAAAGTTTTTCAGTTGCACTAACTTCTTCAAAGATTTTTTCTTCCAGTATGTGAACTTCATTGCTTTTGCTATCGTGACAGTTGCACATATTTCTCAAAAATGCTTCTCTTGCTTCGGCTTGCTGTGGGCTTTGTTTCATTTTATCCATTACAGAATAAAGAAATAATTTCATATCCTGCAGGAAATTAAAAGCAGCTTCAGAAATCGACTGCTTGTGTGTTTCTGATATATTTCTTATTTCTTGATTATTGTATAATAAATTTAATGCATAACTAATGTCATATTCGTCCCGTTGTGGAATGTTTTCGCTTTTTACAGAATAAGTGTCATAATATTTTCCAATTTGCTTAACTGACAATTTTGCCAAGGCTGTCCTGTGACTTGTTTTTTTTCTTAACAATAACTTTTCTTGAGGTATATACTTTTTGAAAACTTGATGTAACATTTCCAATTCCTCTTTCTTGGTATGATTTTTTATTAACTCGTAATCGTTATCCAGAAGTTGAGGTATCGTCATAGCAAAGGTAAGTTTATTCACTGTTTCTTGAACGAACCTTTCAATTGACCCGAAATCGCGTTCGAAATTGGCAAGCTTGTTTAGATTTATTTCTTTCGTTTTCTGCTGTCTATAATAATTAGCCATATTCAAAATAATTCAAAACCACATTCAAAGGTTTTTAACAAATTCACAAAACTTTAATTATTATAGTTATTAACAAATCTTAAAATTAAATTATTTAAATAAATAACCAACACATGTTTTATTATTTGTTTTTATTTTTTGTCGAAGCTTTGTTATACACCGAACATGAAAGCGCTAAAGGGATCTGAATAATTAAATATATTATTAATACTGAATAATAAAAATATTATTTTTTTTTAATTTTATCATTTGGGCCAAGCCTCATTGTTTGGTAGTGAAACTATCTGTAATATATTGTTTCGGCAATTTTAATAATAGACCTGTACATTCACCGTTAAACAGTGTTGTATATCAGCTACTATTAACACATATGTTATAATTTTTATTTTTATTTGTTTATTTAACCTTTACCTCTAAAGTCCATTGGCTTAATCTCTCCATTTTAAATTCTTTGATAAAAGTCAATATCTTTTAAATATTTTAGCAGTTTTCCTATTTATTTTTCCTCATTTTGCAGGATTTCTTAAATTTCCGTTCCCATTTGTACATTTCCTCTTATATCAGTGTATCTTCTACATTCTAATAATATGTGGTTCACTGTTCTGGGTACTTGGCAATGTGTGCAAGTTGTGGCTTCTAATCTTCGCAGGAGGTATCCATGGAAAAACTCAGTGTCCGATTCTTAGGCGACATAGTATCACTTCTACTCTTCTAGACTTTCGGTTAAATGTGTTCCATTTTATACATTTTTTTTTTTTATTTCTTGAAGTTTTACCGAACTCATTTTCCATTCACTGTTCCATTTATCTTGAAAAGAGAAGACAAGTTGGTGTGCCCAATCTTCTCGAGGAATGGTTTCAATTATTGTGGTTTGTGGAGTTTCTTGATGCCAAACAGCATTGGCAGCAGCATCGGCTCTCTCCAGGGATGACCATCCCCCCACGATGGCGCAAGAACCTACTCCCTCCCTCTCCCAAGATATTTTATTGCTCATTTTTCTTTAAAACAGAGCTAGGGAATGTAGAATTATAGAGGGGAACAAACCGATTTTTTTGTAGTAATAGGTCAGCTTTTAGTGTCTTCTGAAAGGTTATCTATATATATATGAAATATATATGAATATTTCAGTAACCCGGTTTCATACTCAAATTCATTTATTTTCTTAATGTGATGTTCCGGAACAGTTTTCAATCATCAAACATTATAATTATTTTTTCTCTATGGGAAGGATACGAACTATCGATGGTCATTAGAACTAACGATAGGATAGTTTAAAACTATCAATATATTGATAGCACTATCGATTATCGCCTATCCCTAATTTATGCACATCCATTCCTTCATCTCCGGATCCGCCCTTAATCGGTGTGGAGATGGCTTTAGTGGTTGAGTGTGAATACTGACCTCATTACTTCTTTTTGTAATCTTTGGTAAAGAAACAGTACTTTCAAAACAAGTTTTGAACCCAAGACCCATTCTTAGTTTTGATAAAGATACAATCACTGAGGGAATATTGTTTACAATTTTACCTATTAAAATACTAGGTAAGTAGCAGCTAAGTAGATAATTTATGTAATTAAGCTGTTTATTATAACTAACTGACCCTGACCGTAGTTGGTTATATTTAGTAACGAGGAATAGCGAAAGGACCTGCAATCACCCACGACCTCACACTAAAATAGAACTCTGCCAAAGGTCGCTGAACTCTTAAGACAAATCTAAAGCGATATATATATAATATATATATAAGTTATACACTGTGACCATAGTTTCATATATATATATGAAACTATGGTCACAGAGTATAACTTGGCAAGTTGAAAAACGATCCTTATGAGTTAAATGTATTGTGATCACCACACAAGCGTTCTCCACACAGTAAGAAGTTGGTAATTCAATGCTCTAAATATTTTGTAGGTTTAGACGATTACTTGTGGAGAAATCAACTTCTTCGTGGTATTTTTAGGAATACCATTTTCCAAAACAAAACATTACTATACTATCAATAAAAGTTTTAGATAAAAATGGGAAGTTTTAAATGTTTAGGGATGAGACGGTATGAATTAAAACTCCGACGAACTAAAAATCGATTGAAAAGGGAAATGCGAGTATCGGAAGAAACTTCTCGCTGAACGTCGATAGGTTTACTTCCTCCTAAGACGTGTACCGTCTCATGAGAAAACTGTTTGAAGAACTTCAATCGAAAGTCCAAAAGAAATTGTGTAGAGCAAGATAGTCTTTTCCACATTACCAATTTTTCAATCTTCATGCAACATTACTCTCTTGTATGGCTATTAGTGTTGCTTTTTAACTCTTCTAAACCAGGTAGACCTTGTTGGTTGAAGCTCAAACCAAAATATGAAGTTTGTTAAATGGCAGATGTTCATACCTCAACTCATTCTATTAGCATTTGAGGGAGAGAAGGGCTTAGAATAATAATGGTGTAAACAATTTTTGTGTTTGTACAGAAAGTGTTGTAAATCTACGTTAATAACATAGTTATGTATTGTATACACATAATATACATATACAAGTAATACATATATTAATAAAGTACACATCACATTCTTAAGTGATTCATTTAAGCACATTTCTTTTACTCTTCTGTTATTCTAAACCTCTCATTTAATAATTTAAGTATTTTCAAAAATGTCAATGATTTAAATACTGTAATCCACTAAGAATATTTCCCTAATATTAAGTGTTTTATTTGTTGTTTCAGGTTCTTGGCTATTTGGTGGCCGCTCAAATGTCAAATAACTACTCGACGGGCACGAATCATGATCGCAATCATCTGGTTGATCGCAGGGACAGTAACACTTCCCTGGGCAATCTTCTTTGAACTGGTCAAGTATGATGAAAACAGTGACATCATGTTTTGTGTAGAACAATGGCCCGAATATTTTAATGGCCATCTTTACTTTCTTTTTGGCAATTTATTGTTCTGTTACATACTACCAATGATCCTCATCACTCTGTGTTATGTTCTTATATGGGTCAAGGTATGTCATCGGCACATACCCAGTGACTCCAAAGATGCTCAAATGGAAAGAATGCAGCAGAAAAGTAAAGTGAAAGTAGTTAAAATGCTGGTAGTTGTCGTCATCCTGTTTGTTCTTTCATGGATGCCTTTGTACATCATCGTAGCAATGTATAAATTTGGGAGAAACAGAAGTGAGTGGGAAGATGAAATGCTGAATGCACTCCTGCCAATCGCACAATGGCTCGGAGCTGCCAACTCCTGCATCAATCCTGTCCTGTATGCTTTTTTTAACAACAAATTTAGAAGAGGCTTTGCAGCAATAATTAAAAGTAAAAAATGCTGTGGCACGCTTCGTTACTATGAAACTGTTGTCCGTGCCAACTCCACCTCTACTAGTCTCAGGAAATCTTCTTATTATGTGACAAACAACAACAATAATTCCTCCCGTAGGCAACTGAGCCTAGACACCAATGTGTCTTACATATCAAATAACTCAGGGGTCTGAGTGCTCTGTTACCTAATCAATTGTGGATTCCATTATTATAAAAGCGCTTGGTAAAAGCGTGAAAATTGTGGCTCCAAGAAGCTGAATAAAGAAACAGGGTAATCACGGTCCAAACCGAAACACATGACACAGCTCAAACTTGGAGATTGCCCAAGAGAAGATTCTCACAACTTTACATCAACTTAAAAGAAATAGATCTCTTAATGGTTTCAACTTAAGACCTTCAAAATATAATCTTTCAATGCTATATTTTTATCTGACACGTGTTTTACCTCCATTCTTGTAAAAGCCTTTTTTTTTTTTCTTTTCTTAATGAAATATTAATATATATTTTTAGAATCTTGTCAAATTTTAGGATGGATAACACTTTCATACTTTTTTATGTAGAGCACTAGGTTAGAGTAAGATTGAAAAGAATTTTGTAAAGATGGTTTTTTACAAGCATGAGATTTTTTTTTGGATCATAATGCACTACTTGACTGTATGATATACTAGGAAAATTTTACTTCAGTCAACAGAGTATAAGTAATTGAATGAACTGAAGTTATGCTAACAGCTTTGAAAGCTGGTATACTTCTTAATTAAACAATGAAACTAGTTCATTATCTCTTTTAAATTAGGCTTGTATCCTCACATGTGGTTCTCATGACAGCATAATAATTGTAAAGAAGATCATGAAGCACGCTGAAGTCAAAATAATCAATCGTTTTATAGACAATAAAGTGATTCATTTCGGAGGAAAGGAGCTGTTCAAAAAATATCATTGCTTTCTTTGAATATTAATAATTTTGGGAAAATCTTCATGAAGTAGATATAAATGAAATTTTAAAATAATTCATTACTGCATAGATATACTTCATTCCATATCAACTTGGTACACATAACTCATTCACTTCTTCGCAGAATCATCATTCTTATATTAAACTAAAATAAAATTTAATAGTCCATGAAATGAGTATTTATATCAGACATAATGAATTAAATAAATCAAATTTATTAATAATAAAAAATGTTTAAATCCATTTCACTTATAATAGACTACCACATAAAGTTGAATTCAAATCTATTAGATCGTTAACTCCATTTCTTAAAAAAAAATGTATTATCAAATATCAAAGGAGAAATTGAAAAAAGTAGGTATGTCAATAGTATTGGCATACAATTTATTCCTAAGATACTATTGGTTATTACCACTAAAACTTACAAAATCCTTATCAAGAAATGTTTGATACATTTCCTTCAAATATTTTGTATATATTTAATTTATTAAAGAAACATTATATTATAAAATTATAACAAAAACTATAAATATATCATTAAAGCATTTCAATTAAATTTGCAATAGAAGTTTAAGAAAATAGAAAACAAGTCAATTAGATTTTTCTAATAATGTCATATGTAAATAATTTTTGTTTTTAATTAAGTACATATCTTAGTCAGATTATTAAATAGCCCTATCAATAATTTATAAGAAAACATTGAATATTGAATTCAGTAGCATAAAGTCATTTAGCAACCAAAATATATACTAATTAAAGCCAATTATTTCCAAAATAATTGTTGTTCGAATATTAAAAAAAAAAAAAAAATAAAACAGTTTTCAATATGATCTCTTATCATTCATATCATTGCTCATTAATGTGTCACTAGATATGTAATAAAAATAAACAATTTGCAATAATATTAAGATTTGATTTGATAATGGTAAAGCTATACAGATCTTACTCCATGCCTCCCTCTGTTTTATATTAAGAAAATAAATTGCCATAAACTACATATCATTTCCTCCAATAATTATAAAATGACTGATTACTCAGGAATCTATCCATCATTAAATTTAAAAGTGCATTATAAATCTCTTCTCATTGATAATAAAGAAATAAACTAAACAAGAATAAAAACAAATAGTTAAGAATTGGTTTAATGATAGGATGTTAAGGAAATATTAATTAATTTAGTATTTTAAGAAAGGAAAATTCTTTTTCACGATGCTTAAATACTACTACATTAAATTACAGTAGAGTCAAAGTACCATAAGTTTCTAAACCAAAAATTAATATGTAACCTTTTTTTCTTTTTCTGGAAAAATAATTTATCCTGAAAAAAAATAAAACATTTTATACCAGTTAATATAATGTTTATCAGAAAGTAATTGTAATAAAAACACAATATACTTTTTTATTGGTGCAGTATAATTCAACTATTAGATCTTATATTCTACATGTTATTTAGAATGAATTGGTTTATGAAACACTCTTACATCTGATCTCATGAATTTTTCAGAAAAATTATTTTCTAAATACTGAATAGGAATGATGTTCATGGATCTTTAATATGTTTGGCATAGTACAGTTTAAAACTTGCATTGTATAGCTTAATTTACAAATGATTGGAACTTGATAATTTTGTATATAAGACAAAATTTGAAAATATTTAAGTCTGAACGGTCAACATTTCTAATTTTTCTCTTTCTTATATCGTTTAAGAAATGTTGGCATGTACATATAAATATATGGATAAATGTTTTTTAAAATAACTATTACAAACTGATATTTATAATTGCTGTGACCAAGCAATATAGTAAATTATGTAAGTGTTAATATTTTTGTACGCAGCAATTTAAAGCTTCCACATTCCAAGGCTTGGGATTTTGAAGGCTGGTTCTTCAATGTTCGTGCTTTATGGTTGAAATATTTTTATTTTTTTTTCAGAGAAAGCTGTATATTCTTAAGGTAATGCTTGTTATGGAATGGGGTTAGTTCTGGCTGCATTTGTTGTTATTGTGAGCATTACTCATGCTCGTAATGTGAAACAAAACTTTAAATTAAATTTAATGGCATTTCATTTAGATTTAGCAAACACTTTGAAAAGAACTTTACTATATATAGTTTTATACGGATAGAAATATGAAATTTAAGCAGTTCATTCTACAGGTGATAATGTAACATAAGCGATCAAATCCTGATAATAAAATATTAAATATAAGTGGTTTAAAAACCATTTCAAATGTAATGTATAATATAATACTAAATGAACTGACTTTTGTGATACTAAATTCCAAGAAGAAAAGTTCACAATTTATGATTATTTTTTTTTAATATTTGTAAACATTTGTTACTGAGAATGGGCTGCTTTAAATCATTACAGTAAATATGTAATATAAATTTAAAATTGGGAAATTTGTTGGGAAGATATTTCCTCCTAATATTTTTTGTACTCACAAGAATCAGATGCAACCTCTATTGTTTTACGCTTAACAGTGATTTTTAAAATATTATAAAAATATACTCCTTTCAAAACACAAGAATGACTGAAGAAGTCTGAATTCATTTCTTGCATTGGTTTCTGACATATATGTAAAAGAATTTATTATCGAGGAAAAAGTAAAATTAAGAAACACTTATAATTAGGTAAGACCATTCATTGCCTCATTTGTTGTTTTTTATTTAACTAAATCTATTCAAAAAGTACTTTAAATTGTTGTTGACTGTATCGTACTCAGTGCTTTAATTATACGGACTGAAGACCCTTTTACGGTCCACAGGCCTATAAACTTTTATTAGATTGGTCTTTTACTTACGAACATCGACTTAATCTGTCGATAATAGTCATTCCTGTGATAGATCAGTGCCATAACTTCATAATTTGCCCTGAAATGAATTTATGATGGGAATAGTATAAATATTTTAATTGCTAACGAGACTGAGAATCTTTTGTTGATGATAATGATAAATTTGAAAGATTTATTACTAACTTTTCAAATATATCTTCTTGCATAATTGATGAAGATCTACAACTAAGATTTTTTGTAGCTTAAAATGATAAATTGTGATTGGTTGTTCAAGTTGTCAATAAAACCTTAAATGATTTCTGTATCATATCATAATGATTATACTGAGCTTTTTAAATAATATGATTCCTATAAAATATATCATTTAAAATATTAAATATTTCAAATAATAAACTGACCTCCTTTCATGGCTTCATTACATAAAAAGTAAAATAAAAAAAAAAATTAATGTCAGAAATCATTTTGTCTTAATAATAAAAATTTATACTTTATTTATTTTTAAATGTTGGAAATGAATCATAACTGGAGTTATGGTAATTGGAAGATACATAAAATATAAGCTTGATGCATAGGCCTACTTACTATTATATAACTTGTTATTACAGAAGATTCATTTTTAAAGAATAACAGTATCTTTTTAGTTATTTCCCAAGATGTGTTGTGAACTATCACAGGTTCATGAACAGACTTAACATGAGTTCTCAAAATTTTCAATTGCATTTATCATGGGAATAATTATAATATACTTTGATATTATGTACTCAGTGCGGGATCTTGGACATTTGGTACCCCTGGACAATGATGTCATCTCGATCCTCAAAAAAAAAAAAAAAAAAAAAATATTTCTTAAACCGTTTTATATTAAATAATATTCGAATTTTATTTCATTCAATATGTCTCTAATTCAGTTGCTTTATTAATAGATTAAAATTAATTATTCTCATACACTTTGTAACTTTTTTTATTCTTGACAAGTGGCGGGGGTCCTACTCCGGGTCGGCGCCCTCTGGCAATAGCCTGGATTGTCCGCCCCTAAAGCAGTAACTGTCAGAACCATTCAACTTCAGTAAAATATTGAATTTTTTTTTTATCATTTTAATTTTGTTTTTTAAAAAAGAGTTTTCAATAACTTTTCAATTTGAATTGTTTCACACAACAAATTATCACTAATTACTGAAATTCACTAAATCCACATTTATTTTCTTCATATTACCAAGATAAAAAACTCAAAATTATTAATAACAATCATATATCCTTCTCCTTGAACATTGAATTCAATTGTAAGATCTAAATTTAAACTTTTAACTTGAAATATAAGAAAATGAAAATTTTATGTTTTAATTGGTATATATCTAGTTTAATTCAACAAAATTTAACTCATGTACATGAGATTGTAGACATACCATTTTAATTGAACCCTCCACTAAACTAAACTAGAAACTTTTAGTTTATCTTAAAAACATCTTAGCTCAGAAAAAGATTTTTTTTTTGCTTTAGGGCCTCTTATGCTTTTCATTCAAAATTGAAGATGTGGCTGTGTACTATAATAATTATACAACTTAGTTACTTATTGTATTACTACATACAATTTAATATTGTATTTAATTGTTATACTGTTTAAAATTTAAATAAATTAACTTTAAATAAATTAAGAAAAAACCTACAATGCAAAGCCCTCCTTTGGGCTGAGCCCCTTGGTATTTTCCACCAACTGGTTATTAACGCTCTTGATAAGAACCATAGTTGAAAAGGTATTTCCTTAGTCCAATTAGCACTGCAATGGCTACGTCACATAAGTCAGGAAATTAAGCAGAAGGCAATTGGATCCAAAGTGAAGTAAAGTAATACATTTCTTTCGAAAACCAAGCACTAACAATAAAATGTAAATCTACTATTCAAAGTGCATACTTCTTAAAATTCTAATCTTAAAACCACATTATCAAAAGATCTACAATCACAAATAAAACTTGCCACTAATTCACATGATAAAAGTTTTTAAATGACCACATTCAAAATAAAACTAGAAAAAATTGTGAAAAAAACACTTCGATCGTAATTTATAAACCATGATATGAAAATATAACAATAAAATAAATAAACACGGGGTAAAACTGAGATTTCAACCAGTGATTAGTAGACTTGAAAAACAAAAAAAAAAAAGTATTTAGACAATTAATTAAAGACAAATGTTATGTTATGTTCACAACCTTAATATTTTAGTTTCTTATCTCATTAGTTACTTATTTATTTTCCACAAAATCTATAATTATATAATTGATTATACTTTAAGAAATAGAAATCTTTCAACTAAATGTGACATTAAATTAACTGCTCTTATTTTATTTCATTCCTGACCAATGAGCTGTCCTAATTTTTGTCAATGTTCTAAGAGTTTGTTTAAAGTTTTTCAACTTTAACTTTATATAACTTAACAACAAGAATTATACATAAAATTATGAAATTTTATTTTATTTTTTAAATGAATAGTGTGGTGACAAATAATTTTTATTTTGATCGTAGGATTGATTAATACCTTTAATATAGATGGTCATTGTAGACTTCTAAAAGTTCTAAATAAAAATAAAAATTCAATAATTATAGTTTCTGAAATTAACAGGCAGTCCAAGTCCATGAAATACCTTGGGGTGTTCTCAAAAATTAACCTCCATTTTCTAGCTTTGCACATCATCTCAACACTCCTCATCTGAAAGCTGAAGAATTAAAACTAATAAGTTCTTATGATTATCAGTTTTTTTTTTTTTTTACACAAATCAAAACCCTTTTAATCATTAAACAATTTAAGCAACTGATTTTTCATATCTTTAACTGTTGATAGGATAAGTATTCATAAAAAGTTTATGTGATGGATTTTCACAATTATAATGATAAATAACTTTTAGGAATAATTCGCATGTCATAAACTCAGTGGTAAATATATACAAATGTATTCTACGTGTTTAACTATAATGGCTGTTTCTAAAGCTGTCAAATAGGTAATTAAAAATAATGATTTTTTAAATATAATAATTTTAGATTTTATAATGTTGACTAATATATTGAAGATATATTTTTAACAGTTATTCAAATGATATATTAACGAGACATACTGAATGGCTTCACAGACTGCTTTTGTTCTTATACTAAAAAAAAAAGATGAAGTATAAGAATTAAGATTAATAGAAGCCATACTTAAATAGTTTAGAAAAAATTAACATATGAATAGAGGGAAAACATATATATAGATATTTAAAGAAAAAATTAAAATATTTTTGAAACAACACTGTCTTTATATTTTTAATGTATATACCTAATCATATTGGGAAAATAATTCCACTATTTTAAAAACAATGGAGGTTGCATTAATACATCCTTGTGAAAAAATTGTTGGAGTTTACAATGTAAGCTTATATTAGCTTTTTGTGGGAATAAAATGTTCCATACAAAATGAAATATACATTGTTGTAAAAAAAATTTGTGTGAGTTTACCCTCTTGCCGAATATTATGGTCTACCACATTTAATGAAAATAAGTATCTGTTACCATAAGGTAGTTAATTATTTGTCAGTAAGAACCAATAGAACATCAATGACAAAAATATTAACCGCTTATCAATCTTCACATATCAAAGATAACGAAGTTTCCGATTATCTTGGTTATCAGATCTTAAATTTTGTAAATCCACTAGGCAATTTATAGCTAGATTGGCATGACCCTTACAAAAGACCAGCACCAACATTTTTAACAAGATTTATAAAGTAGCACTATACTGAAACCAGAATACTGTTAAAAAAATATTTTAAGTAACTTTTTATCAACCACTGAACTTAACCATTAGTGGTATAGTGATGAATTCATAATACAATTAGAGCTTGTGATGGGCAAGCAGGTCAGGGCATGAGTCCAAGAGTGGCAGGTTCTGAATGTTGTGGGTTTGATTCCCACATGAATAAGTTAATATTTATTTCTCAACAGCCCTGGGAAATAATATTGACACTCCTGATCTGGTATGTTGTGCCAACCTGCAGGTTGCCATCAGGGGTTGGCAAAAAGGAGCACAACTGACCCACTTGTCAGATTAGTATCAGTACTAGTAAAAATAAAGTTTCTTAAAAATAATTTAAATTTATAATTCTAATTGCTTGAATAGGATGCCACTAGGAGTAAATGGTTATCATTGCCTATCAACATAGGTCTGGGCCTTCCAAAAATAAAGATACGAATAGTACATTTCACAAAAATTTAAATACACCCAAGGAACCAAGTTTGCAAACAAAAAATTCAAGATTTATTCTGTTTCTAGACACCATTAATAAGCCTTTCCTCTTACAAGGAGACTTTGATTAAAGTTTTTTTTTCTGTATAAAGAAGGTCTATCTCATGACCTAAACTTAAAAAAAAAAATGTTTCTTTTATATTCTAAGTAATAATTGAATATATATAAAATGTATTTAAAGAAGAACAATAGAATGTAATTAATGCAGTGAAGATAGTATTTGAGTTTTTTAACAACTGCAAATTCATGCAGGTCACGCCTCTTCCCAATATAGCTAGATGACTACTTTGGTACACTACATCTCTTTATCACTGACTTATACGGTCTAATAATTAATATTTAAAAGACACTAATTTCAATATACCACCAATAAAATATGTAGACAATGCAATACTGTCTAATAATTAATATTTAAAGGACACTAATTACATTATATCACCAATAAAGTATGTAGACAATACAGCAAGCGAGTAAACTCAATCCAATTGCATGTTCTTTTAGAAATTTGGTAGTTTCTATGATAACACTTCTGTACTTGAGATATTGGTGTTAATTGTTGTTACAATTAATTGTAGTTGTTTGTTCTTGAATCTTATCTAATATGCTCATCCATTTTAAATGCTCTAATTCAGAGCTACGAGTTTTCACATATTTGTAGACATAAAAATGTGTACTAAATAGTGGAGGAGCATTATAAATGAATTATATGTGTAAATTTTTTAAACTTTGAGTCTTTCAGGACAATTGTTCAAAGATAATGTAAAGCCTACCTGTAAATAAGAAAGAGCTCTTTGGAAATGTGTCTGGAATACAATTTCCAAGGTGTCGAATTGTCTTTTGATATTAAAATACTATAAGGGGAACTGACATGTCCCTCTCAATTGTATCAATCAGATGGATATCAATCCTCTGGTAAGCTGTAAACCTATTTATTGTATTTAATATTTGTATAGTGGAATGGAGAATATAAGAGAGGAAAATTTTGATGTTGACTGCTTTAAAAGAAAAATGAAAAAAAAAATTAATAAAAACAAAATGAAGTATTAGTTTATAAGACAAATTTAACATTGTAAAACATATATTTTGTAATGGAAGATATTTATTTTGTTTTCTTTTATTAGTTTTGTTTATTTTTACAAAATACTCTTTTGTTAAAGATATGATTTATGAAAGAAATGTTCAGATTTCAGGAAACTTATGCAATTTGTTTAACTATTTTTATATGATGTTATTTCTTAAGTAAATGACTGTATATTTGAATGATAAATGAAGAAGGCAATAAATGAAAATTAAATTTAGTTTCTACAAAAATTTTATTAGCAATTATTTAGATGAGGACCGCAAGGGGTTACGCATGGTTCACAATCATTTTGGTCACCCTTGTTCATGAAACGCCGAAAACAGACTTTCGGATAAACCCGGATGCATTCGGAACTCCAAGGATAAATGTGACCAAAGTGATAGTGAATCACACGTAACCCGTGCTGTCCCAATCTAAATGATTACTGTTATACCTTAAAATATGCATGATAAAACCTTGATCAACTAAAAATTAATATTTTCCAATCCAATTAAAGCTAACATTTATTGCATTAGATCCTTTCAGAATAGCACCAAAAATATGGCAATCAGAAGTTAACTTCACCAATATTGAATATTTATTGAATATAACTGGAAGTAAAATAGAGAACTAATCAATATGTAATATGACAAATAATAATAATTATTATTTTGCAACTGGTAGAGTAATAACTAATCTTTTTTCACTTTGACACAATTGAATTTATGGAAGCATCCGTCAAGTTGACTAGAAATATTATGACATTTATTTTAATTCATTACATCACATTATTCAGTATAACTTCATTTGTCCAACTTAAAGCAAGGCTGTCTTATATCCTGCAGTTAAAAGAAGGTGGGAAGCTTCACATTAACAAAACATATATAAAGATGATTCTTCATTATGGCCTCAGCTACTTCCACAGTTAAACAAATGAGAAGAACCATAATTTTTTTTTCAATCAATTAAATATCTATTTGGTGCCCGTCGAGAGTAATGCCAATATACTACCAGCTATTCCTAAGGAAAATATGTAATTTATTGAGGGAGAAAATGTTTTCAGAACATAAAAACTAATAAATATGACAAGAGCTAAAAACAGAGCATTGTTGTAGAAAATAGAAAAGGTAGTAGCTTCATAATCTGCAACTTCATTTTTTTTCCACAACATCCTTTCATCTTTTTCTTTTTTGCTCATCTTTTTATCTTCAGGTAATTTGTGAGAAATATTTCCAATAATAGTTTCTTCCCGTCTGAACGCAATTTGAATGTTATTATAATAATAAGCTATTTTATGTTTGAGTATAAATTTTGTGTTTTTGTAGGCAAATGACACCAAATAAGTATTCAAAAGGGTAACCATTATAAATGCCAATATAGAGCTATAAACATCAATCATATGTATTCTCCAGAAAAGCCAAAAGGGAATCGCAGAAACTATAAATGCATTTCCATAAAAAAAGGCAGAGGACTTAGTAGAAACGTTCCTACTAAAATCTTTTAACAACAGTTCTTCTTCTTCGGTGAAAAAAGATTTCGACTTAATAGCCATAATGCAGTTAATAGAGTACTTTTTAAGAGTATTTCCAATCAAACTTCAACTTTAGACAAAAAACAAACTCCTAAAATTTAATCACTCAATTCAAATCCAAACGACTCGGTTATCAAAACTGATATGAAGATTGTAAATCAGTGATGGAACATCAAATATCGATATTTTTTAATGATTTCCAATAATCTGATATACATATAATTATTGAATTATTTTACTTACATACCATGTTATCATTACTTGATTACTGAATAATCATAATGCTTAATGAACATAAATCTTCATGTTCGATTAATTTCGGATTCATTGCCTAAAACAATCCTTCTCCCACCTGAGTCTTAATCTAACTTTAATAATTATATATATATATATAGTTTCGCTTCGAGATTCCCATATACGCCCTCATATATATATATATATATATATATATATATCGGACCATTTCCACCTTAAAACGCCTAAACCACTTCCTTCACTTATTTCCCCTTGAAACCCATAGACTCTTGGTCACTTCCTTAATTTTTCTCCACTTTGACAATTGCTGTACGGTATATGGGGGCGTCTCTGGAAATCTCGAGGCGAAACTATATATATATATATATATATATATATATATATATATATATATATAGCTCATTGTCATTGGTTCCAAGCCCCTTATTAGATCCCATACTGACTTTCCCATATTACACCCTAATGACCAGCCAATTTCCTTCTACTCCTCTGTTAAAAATTTAGGATTTTTCATAGATCAAACCCTCTCCTGGAACTACCATATTTCTCACATTTCCCGTCGGACAATTTCTACCCTTAAACTATTTCA